ATTTTGACCGTCGATTTTGACGATATCCACCACGAGCTTCAGCAAGCTGAAGGCAAACGCGGTGACTGTAGCTGGATTATAGTGAAAGCAGACTCACTGGATCTACCCCACTCTCTGAAAAATCCCGCACCGGGAACCGGTATTCAAGACAGAGTCAAAAAGGCCGGAAATGCGGAAGGGGGTAGATGGCTGGCGCGACCAACACTGAACAACACGAGTACCAACAGCACGTCTCGCTAAGTATGCTCACGACAGGAAGCGCCATAAAGGCCACATTAAAAAGGAGCCATTGAATCTGACTCTCAGCCCGCAGACAGCCACACCACACAAAAAGACACACTAGACCGATTGCGGTGTCCGAGTTAAACCGCCAGCTGGCAACACTCCAAGCCACGGCTTTTAGCGCACCGTGATAGATTCAAGCACATTGGATTCATTATACATAGTGAGGAAAGAAGCGCGCCGAGGGTCGACATCACTCTCTCCCTACCGCCAGCAACAGGCGCAACACACACACGATTGCTTTTTGCTTATGTAACATCGGACAGAATCATTTAATACCACAACAAACAAACATATTTGAACATAGAAAGAAAACAAGTTGGTTACGTATGAAATCTGTTATAGCAAATAAAAAGATGAATAGCAAAAAGGGAAAGATAACGATAAGAGGGATTAGCAAGGTCCTGTACAGATGATCCGTTCAGAGTGAGAAGTAGTCATGAAATATCAATTAGATACCGGTGAAGATCGCAGTGCTGTCGTCAACTGCGGGTGAGGGCCGTGGAGATACTGGCGATAAGGGATATACGAGAAGGGACGGTAACGATAGCGAGGGAATGTGGTCAGCAGTAGGGAGGAAAGGAATATAGGTCATCTCTACCGAAAAACAATCACACCATCCGCATCCGGTATCTGCACGAAAAAAATACCTTGACAAGTTCAAACAACTGTGTGCAATTGTGGTTCGTTACAACTCGAGTGCCAACTCGGCAGGGCACATTTTGATTGGTTGGTTACCCAGCTAAGTGTTGGCGAATCGCAACCGGATACTATAGAGAGAGAGTGTGTTTCTATTTTGAACTCATGATTATTTCCGATATAAACCTACCCAAGCAAGACTGACTTGTACAAGCAACCAGTACGAACTTAAGTACTTCTTGACTCAGCGGGTAACTCAGGAAATAGCACTTAAAAAGTGCGGAGGTTGCAAAAGAAGCTTCAGATTCAGGTGACCAAATAATTGGCTGCGTTAAAATAAAAAATTTGAACATATTTAGAGAAATTATGGATCGTTTACAAAGGTTCGTCCTCGGAAAAGGTAGATTTGCAACTGCATACTTTTCTGACCAGTGACTCCAGGGGATGCAAGCGTGGCCAGCAAGATGCGTAGGGACGGAAAAGGGTCATCCATTAGATAGCACTTGTCTGACTTTTATCACCGAACTGCCCGTAACAGTAATGGATGAACCGTTTTAGCCACCGACTGGCCTACTCAAGCAAGATGCGTAACGTAGGGGCTGACACCCGATCACTTCCCTCGATCCGAGGATTAAAAATCTCCCCTTGAAAACATCTAGAAGTAGTTTAATCTCAAGTCGAGGTCACTGCTCACATCACAGAAGACAATGTTGCTGGTGGTAATAGTAAAATATGGTGGTCGTGATGGTTGTGTACAATCCTCTTGGAAACATACAAGACGAGTTAGTTGGTTAGTTACACAAACGGACGCCCACGGTATACTTGTATTTTGCTTCCATACAGTCCCGTCATTTTAGGGATAAACCCAGATGACCAATTTGTCCATTTCCAAGGGAGACGTTCGGAAGCGACCTCTTCCTCGTGTAGGAATGCAGATGTTTGCCTAGTCTGAAAAAAACGAATGAAAGCCCATTTTGGAGTGACATTAATTGACTTTTTTCGGTTGATAGACAGAAAAGAGACATTGAAGTGTGACCCCGAAATTCCGTTTACACGGAGACGTTTCCACCTTTATCGGATTCAAATCACTAAGGTGATAAGGCCTGATTTTATATCCGATCTTTGTGCAGTAAATACAAGCAAATCCGTTAAAGATCAACCTAAAAGTTCAAACTCTTATCTAACCGATAACAGATATGACTACAAACATACAATTCTCTTGATTTCAATAGATCTTTTGTTTGCATTAAACGTGTGCCAGTGAACATTTCGTGGTTCAAATGCAGTGTTGTACGCTGCCATTGCGCAAACGCCTCAACTGTTTAGCCATTCATATCAATTATTTTTAGAAGGCGGGAAAACGCTCTCTGGGACTAATATTTTATTTGCTCGACGTTTTGAACTCTCAAGCGAGCTCATTGTCATTATTTTTAAGACATGTTTACATGCTAAGGCGACCTGTAACCATATTGGCATCTTAACTATGTTTTATTCATTCTTGTATCGATGCAACGGTGTTTTTAAGGGTTTCTGTCAGTGACTCCAAATATACTGATTGAAAGCCAGCATGAAAATCTTCACAGGCAGTAGCCTGGCCTCAACCTGTCAACTTTCCTTGCTGATGCAGTTTTGTCTCTTTAAACGAAAAGTGTGCCCCCTTGCTTCG